TATTCAATTAAAAGAAAATGAATATTTGAAAGCTACCATTGATGTCGAAGATATTATTTATTCGATTTGTCCTTTTAAGTAAAATAAAAACACAATCATTTTTATCACTCTTCTCTTTGCTTAGAAAACGATACTATAGAAATCTTCAATCTCCAATGACTAGCTCTTCTTTGAAACTTTCAAATTTTGCTCGACTTGAATTTACATACATTTATTATGATCATTTTATTCAATTATTAATCATAGTTATTGGTTTTCTTTTAACTATAACACAGATTCATCATTCAGTAATTTTTGAAAATATCAATTTCCATTGATAAATTAATTTATATAATAGCACTGTTACTGTAACGAATTTAAAAGAGTAAATAACAAATTGGAAGAGTACCATTAGTGTTATCCTCAATATTGATGTTTACTGAGCTGCTCCATTACTCTAAATGGTGCTCATATAACAAAGAACTATGCATTATATACACGTACACGAAATCAAGAGAAAGCAAAGAATAGGACAGAGAACAAGGATAATGAGATGTATATGTACAATATAAAGAATAGGAATTTCAACATGATAAGACTACCACGTAAAAATGATATAGCGTAACGATTATATAACATTAGAATGATATCATGTAAGAGTAATATCATGTACGAGTGGTATGCTCATCGGCACAATTACTTAAACGTGTAACAATAGAAACTAATTCTTTATTTTCATCATGACAAAAAAATTAGCTAAAAAAAGTAACGAGTTTCTTAAGAATATCAAAAGTAAATAAAATTGCAAAATTCTATCTGAAAAAGAAAACTATTAATATTGTTTGAGAAGTAGATAATTCTTCTTTCAAACTTCCTTCTTATATGAATTATTTACAAATTAATACTATAAATAATATTTATGTGAAAATATTTGTAAAAGAAATTATAATTACAATTGTCAACGTCGGTTTTTTTTATCTCTTCATATTGCAACAGTAGATGATTGAATAATTGAAAAATTTCCCAAAATGATCAAGTGCAAATAATTGTCTGTTGTTTATACAATTCAACTCATTGTTCTTCTTATTTTTTTCGTAAAACTTTTCCACTATTTCAATACATTTCATTATTCTGTTATGATCACGTCTTGATAAGAAATTATTTCATAGAAATATCTAAACTATAGAGTGAGAAAATATTCATTCAACTGTTATCGGATGAAGCAGTTTATTTCCAATTAATAATATAATCATTCAATGACCTTTGACATCTTCTTTTTCGTCTGAAATTAATTCTTATCATTGTATTTCTCTTCTCTTCTCTTCTTTTCTCTGTTCATTATATAAAGATCAATTCAATATGTTCAAAACAATCAAAAATACACATTTGTCGAAGAAATCAATACATTAGATATGAATAAATTTAAACGAAAACTAGTTTTCAATGAATTATTAGAGGAACCAACGAAAAAATTTCGAAGTAAGTTATTTATCTTATGGGACTAATGTTATTGACATTTTTCTCATGATAGATCAATTAATAACATGTCTTGAAGACTTATCAAATGAAATCTTTTATGAAATATTTGATTATTTGAATGGTTGTGAAATAGTTAAAACATTTTCTAATCTTAATTCTCGATTTAAACAACTACTTTACTCTTCATCATTTCTAATTAAAACTCATTTTTATTTATTTAATTATGACAAGATGATAAATACATCTAATGAATTAGAAATATTCTCAACTGAAATATATTTAAATTTAAAAATCTTATTTATTCATTGTTCAGATAATATTATTTTTCTTGACGCTTATCGATGGGAAAAATTAATTTTACATTATTATCCTCAATTAGAAATATTCTATTTCATATATTATGATCGTATGAATAATGATAATCAATATTCAACATATTCTTATGGTTTAAATCAATTTTCCTCATCATTTTGGATTCAACATAGATGGATATTCAACGTACAAATTGATAATACAGATATCAAATATATGGTTTATCCATATAGGTAGATAGATGA